ATGCAAGTATCACTGGTCAAAAAAATCCCAGTCTTGAGATTCTTCGATGCAGAGCTGAAGGGAGGAGGTGTGTCAGAATGCTTATGCTATGTTGGGAAAAAAAATCACTGGGCTGGTGAAAAAGAAAAGCATTTTGAATTGTGTAAAGATGACACAGACGCTTCTTAATAAAGGAACTGATGTAACCAAGATTCTATTGGACACACTTAATTCTAATATTATCTAATGTCTAAGAAAGCTAGGAGTACAGGGCAGGTTTTGCCTTCAAAATACTTTTAACACTGGAGTCACAACGACTCCACAATCAAATAATATGCAGAATACTTCTATAAATAACAGGTGCAAACGTAACCGGAAAACAAGGTGCTTTTCTTCATCTGATCCACGGCTTACTGTGGACTGCAGTAACTGAGCATCCCAGCCTCGCTCAGTCACACAAATCATGGCTTTATCAGCAGACAGTATTTTACAATGAACTGATTATATACTAGGAACAGTTCTGCAGGAGTGTCTAACAAAAAAATGAGAAAGGTAAATCTTGAGACATGGAGCGTGGCATCAATAAGGTCTGCCTGATTTGATCCTTAAATTATGGCTTTTATTTCCAGTGGCTCTCCCAAAAGCATAGGCAAAAACCTAAAGTTTTCCCTTCCTTGCAGTACCTGTTTAACAGTCTCTCTGATATTTTTCAGGCAGATTCTGTTCATTAGCCGATCAGGAACAATGCAGCTCAAGTCACTTGTCTCCAGTTTCTTGGCTGTGAATCCACACTGCAGCTGCCTTGCCTTGCCACCATTTGCCTGCTTAGAGATCAGCTGCCGACGCATTTGGCTTATCTTAACGGTGCAAAAAGACCGGAAAGCATCCAGTTCTCCATCTGATAATTCAGGAATTTCTGTCAGGCATAAATCAACAAAACAAAAGTGTCAATTACTGTATCAGGGAAAGAGAAGAATTACTGGTCTTCTATCTCCACCTCATATTATCTATGTAATAAAAAAACCAAACTCAAAGTCAAGCCTAGAGGCAATGACTATAATAACAGCAATGCAAAATTTAAATAAAAATCTGGATGATAACCGAAGGAACTCGCATGATAAATGTCTCTATAAATAGTCTCCAAAGATGGGAGGGGATAAGAATCCTAAAAAATTAGACTACTTAATGATAAGGCACAAATACATTAGTAAAGCAAGTACTTAAATAGTAGAACATTAAATTAACTGAGTTTCCATGACTGCCTAATACAGATTTATCTTTTTCCTACCTGAAACTGCAACTTATTAAAACAAAATGAATTAACATTTAAAGAGAGCTACCAATCTAGTTACTCTAAGGGGCAATTCATAAGACACTGAAAAATCAGAGGCAGCATCTATTGAAGTGACTCTGGAAAACATTCCAAATATATTCTATGACCTACAGTTAGGGGTTTTTTTTGTTGGGTTTTTTTTTGTTGTTGTTGTTTTTTAGGAAATGCAATTATGTTAGAAAATACTTTCCCCTAAGGCTTCAATGAGCATTTCCTAAATTCTTTATGTGAGCTTGCTTAAACAACATCTTTCACTCCTTCATCTTCTCTTATTCTTCCCAGTGGCATGCAATAATAAATAAAAACAGAGATTATACTTCAGATGTGCAGATAAGGATAGATTTACAACTTCATTCAATGCTTAATGGGAGATTTTCCACAGGCTTAAACACAGCCAATCAATCCAGACTAGCTAACATGAGTAACTGTTACAATTTCAGTATTTCATGAGCATCAGCATAGAATGATGACCTGTAATACTACAGGGCTTTAAGAGATATCATTGTTTTCAACTATTTAAACAGGGGAGAGTACCCCTCTACCTTTATTACACAGATTTTGCTTTTATGCAACTACTGAAACCCAACTAAACACTTCAATGCGTGTCATTAAAGGAGGAGGAGACAAAACATGACAGTAAGCATTACTAGAAGTCTCATGAACACCTTTGCACATAGCTAATGCTCACACAGTATTAGTTCCTTGGCATGGAGCTCCCTTCTCAGGACTCCACTCTGACAGCCAAAAAAAAGTTAAGACAACTAATAACGATTGCACAAGTGAGGTATGGTCAGTTTGTTTTAACTCAAAGTATTCAACGACAAATTATACTGCCCATTTAGCTGGAATTTATCATTATAGCACTTAAACATTCCCTCCATATTGTCTGCTTCACTCATTTTCAGCTATTAAATTCAGGCTAACTTTTTCTAGACAGGCACTGCATATTTCACTGCCTATTTCCAGAGGTTTGTCTGACAACCAGTGCCCTGGCATTCCAGTTCTGTGGGGTACCTTGGCATAACCACAACACAAATCCTTTAAAAATAGAACAAGATGAATGTAAAACTTTGCTTAAATACACTGCAATGAATTTAGTCTCAAGTACACAAGATATAGCTGTGGAATTCTGCAAGGAAACCGAGTCTCTCTTCAGAAATGCAGTCAATCTGTATAGAAGATAAGTGGATCTATAGTTAAGACTAAGGAAAGTACAAATCACAGGGTTTTGTTTTATGGACAAAAAGGAAAAGATGTGATTTAAGTGCAACTACCACAGCTCAGAATCAATCATTGTAAACCAATTTATTCCTCCTTAGATTATGATGTATCAAGTTGACTGAAGAAAAAGACATAGTGGTACTTTATAGACAGATAAGTAAGAATTAACAATACTTTAAAATGCACTTTAACAACAAATTTTTTCTTGGGTAGGATCATAAACATTTGAGTGGAAACCACCACTCCAGACATCAGGTCATTTTCCTTACAATTGCAATGTAGAATCCCTGTAAAACAGCGTAAATCATGTGCCACTACTGGGTTTAATCACGTTAATAAAACGGTGGTATATTCATTTATGCTAGAATAAAAAGATTTAAAAGCTACTATTGGGGGGGGGGGGGGGGAAACCACCTAGAACAAAGCATTTACATATACTAAACACATGGGGTCTGCTGAACATTTTGTGACAACTTAATACCGGCCTAATTAATTCACTTAAGTTTCTCCTGACATACAGAAGTGCATTTTAATTAAGAATTAGATGCTAATAATGCATGAATTGTGTGCTGCCATACACCCACCCATTTGCTCATTTCCACCTACAGACAGTAGAAGAAACACTAGCAAAAGAACAGCAGTTTTTAAACCAGGCTACACAACCAATTTCACAAAGTTACTTGTTTAACATTAATTCATGTTGAACAGTAAATAAACTCAGAAAGAATAAAAAATATCAAGGATCAAGGACTGATCTTAATGAAACGAGACCAAAAAACGATGAGAACTCAGCATCCAGTTAAATTCCGAAGAGTCAGTCCTTTAATTGTACAATGACTATTTACACTTTCAGATTTTCCTCTGGGTATACAAGGTTCAACTGTCCTTCAGCTGAAGGAAGATTTGCATACAAGAGATCTATGTACTGGTTTTGGTGGCTGGTTTTATTTCTTGTGTCTTTCACATATTCCCTCCTTTCCATCTTTGAACTAGACATGCTCGAATGCTCCATCTCCATTTGTGGTGTCAGACTTAAATGTCACTGCACATCTGTCCACAGAGAATCCCTGCCAAGGCCAATTACTGTTCCTGAAGTACCTTTTGCTGATGCTTGGTTGCCCCAAATCCTGCATTCCCACAACTTCTTTGCTGGAGAGGAATAAGGCAGAACAGGTGACAAGAGCAGCAAAACCAGACACCAGAACAGACATCAAGTTGGAGTCATGTATTGCACAGCAGGAAGGTCACAAAGCACAGAACATTTAGAAAGTAAAGCGCAGCAAACTGGACCAAGAAGCTGCTCTGATTACAGAAGCACTCAGTGTGTACCAAGGGAGATAAGCTAATCTCCCTGTCTACATTCTAAACCCTGCTGTGTGGTTTATAACTAAGTGACCTACATAGATTTTGCTTTCTGTATGCAAATGCATCTTTAAGTATGACATTTTAAATCTAAGAGAGTGGAGGAAGAAAAATAAAGTAAGTTTTTATTGAGTTTCCTTTTCATGTCTAACTGATTTAATATGAAAACAGGCAGGCATTTGTTATTATGCTCTTCTAATACTCTATTTTAAGAAGAAAAAATGTGAAACGGTTAAAGGAGAGAATTGTGAAAGGCAGTAACCATGATTTTAACTCTGCACCTCAAGATAACATTTTCATAATTATCTAAATCACATCTGTACAATTGAGTGCAGCAGTTCAGATTAACATGCTGACAGCTCAATCAGCAAATGTAGAGTTTGACAGATTTGTACAGATAACACAGAACTGATATAAACAGCCTGAAATATCAGGCAACTTGCTACAAATATGAATTTAAAAGCAAGTCAAGTTCCTCCAGCATGGCAAAGGATACTCCCAGTTTCCACCAGTGTTAGTGAGATGAGAGAACAGTAAGAATCTTGCAGGATCTATGTCTTTTGGAAGAAACTCATTCCTTCCCTGTTCCATAAAGGCATTAATGAACTCGAGGAACTTTCTTCACAAGCAGGGGTTTCCATTTAGATGTTGCTGGTTGGAATTTCCCCATCTAGCCTACATTAATACTATTTTACTCCAGAAACAGAAGAGAAGTCTGGAATCTCCGGGCCTAACTAGGTCTGCAGAAATCCCACAACCTGTGCACATTATCCAGTAGTAAGCTCTGGTGCTGAAAAGCTCAGGAATAGGAAAGAGAGCCAGTATAGACTATTGGATGCCTGCTCCCTTCTCCAAACAGAGCAGTACGATCTTTTCTCAGTTCTTATAAACTACTGATACTTTTAATAAATAATTGTAATAAACTACTACTACTATTTGTAAGTCAGTAATTGAATGCTTGGACACATTAAATTTTGTTCACAAAGTGAATATAAACTAGGTCTACTCAGAAGTACTCTGGACAAGCTGGAAAAAAAACCTGATGCAGAAAAATAAACACTTGTCCTTCCCTCAGTGCACACATCTATGCACACATGCCAGCACCTTTCACCCTAACTACACAAACCACAGGTATTTATTTACCTGTATGTACACTGGCCTTTGTTACCTTTAGATTTCCCATGACTGATATCACTGTCATAATAACAATAATGGCTAAATTGGTAATATTGACTGAACTGCATTTCGGTCACAAAACTGTCTGATGCTGCTCAAACATTTCTATGTCTGTAAATAACACACATTAGCAACTACAGCTCTCTCATTTTTGCTAGCAACAGTGCAGTGGTAACGCTGCAGAAAAATAAATGAACAAAATGTTTAATTTAGACACATTACAAACAAAGGTGAGACGAACCTTCTGAATACAGTACAAGTCAGAGCATTAAAAAGCCCCACTGGAGCTTTCAGCTACATCTAAGTTGAGGAATGGCAGCTTCCTGTAGTAAATTTTAAAGATGATTAATGGTCTTTGGAATAATCTATATGGAACTGGGGACACATATAAGAATTTTGTGATTCATTTGTCTAATAACAGCTACTTGCTACAGCACTGGATAGAGGGCCAGAGAAGAGGAAGACAGAAAGATAACTATGACAATAAGTTCTCATTTCTCTTGAGGCCAGCATCTAGGTTTTTCTTCTTTCAGCCCACAAAGGAAAATATTAAAAATAAGAATCACATTCCAGGACATTCCCATATGCAAACCAGGATTTCCCCCCACCCTATCTAACCCTATCAGTAGTGAGATAATAGTATGAATTTTTGTTCTATTACCTGAAGATAATTTCAAAAGTACCATGCATGCTCAGTGCATACATCAATCATTTTGCTGAATTTACTGCTAACTAACTGCACAGCAATCTTGTGCTAGGTGAGCTCATCTTCCGTTGTCTTTAAAAAATAATAATCTCCAAACTGGTAAAATAATAAGAGGTTTGGGGGCTACTGAGTACTGAATTATTAGGTCAAAGAGAAGCAGGCATGTATAGATAGCAGTTTACAAAAGTTGCTCTGCTTATCTTGTTTTCTACAATAAAAATGTATCGTATTCTACAATAAAAAATGTAGTAGACGGCCAAGTAGGACTGATGCTGATGAACTGGGGATCACTTGTCAATCGCGTGACAATGTACTATGTTTGCATGGAAGAAGCATAAGCATGAACCTTATTTTGTGCTCTTCATATCAAGAGTGGTGAGAAGCACTGTAACAACATACCTGAGAAGTGCTGAGCAGCTAAGGTGACAAGTGATAGGACAGGCAGACAGGAGACAACGCCCCATTTCATACATCAGCGCAAGCTAATGGAACAAACCTTGCTACTCCAGACTGAGTGACTGCTCTGACTCTCCTTGCCACCAAAGTCCACAAAGCAAAGGCAGAATGTCCCCTTGCATGGAACTACAAAAATCTGAAATTGATTAAGAGGATAAAATCTTCTCAAGTGTAACTTTCAAAGGAAAGCTCTGTAGAGACGGAAAATTTCCTCACCTTATACTGTTGTTTATGATTCATTCAGTGAATCTGAACTCATCAGGTCCTTTTCAATTTCTCTATGAATTAAATGGTCACAAGATTCTGATGTATTTTAAGAAGACTATCTCAGAGGAGCTCACCAGGAGAAGCCTCTCTCCTACAGATGAGATGATCTACATTACCTCTCTTCTCACTTGGCTACACGGCAGTCTTGGAAAACCAGTAACAGAAAGATTGAAGATGAGTCAGGAACTCCTAACATTGACACACCACTGCTGTGAATGGGCTATACAATTAAGAACAGCCTAAAAATGATCTCAGATGATGCCTTCCTATGACACAGGCTGTTTGAAGATGCTTGTATGCAAATGCAATGCCATGAAGCACCCAGGCAGGAGGATCTCCCTGGTTAATCAGTCTTACAGGTGACCAACAAAACTCATGAGCTTGTTCACTTTTCACATACAGACTGAGGAAGATTCCCTTTCTGCTTCAATTATTTTTTGCTCAACTACAGCTTTCTTGCTCTTTTTAAAATTAAAAATAGTATCTCTGACCCACTTTTTAGAAAGACTTAAGCAGGACTTGCATCCCACCATCTGCTCTCACAGCTGCTTGCATAACCAGCACAAGCAAACAGCATCCATCCTTCCTTCCTGCCTTTCCCTCTCCTCCTCCATACACTACATCATTGTGTTGGTTAAAGCTGCTCCATTGTTCTTGCCAAAACTGGCACCATGCTGCCTCCCTCAGCTTGGGAAAGGAACTAAAACATGGCAAACAAATAATTCAATAATTAACACGACTGATAAACGGGGAAAAACATCACACAATAAATTTTGAAGTCATGTTTATTTTGGAGGGAAAAAAACCCCACACTCCTAGTACCTGTACAGCTGGAGAGAAAAAGAGAAAAACTAAACAATCCAGTAAAATTTTGAGGATTACAGTTAAATTTAAAATGCGGATATATATTTTTAATGGCTTTTTCCAGATCTTGTGATAATGCATCACTAAGACAATGTCACTACATCGGGAGCAAAGCCATGTGTATTGCAAGAGATAGACTGCTTTCCAAGAAAGCATAGAGAAACTCTGTACTTGATTACCTGGCTAATTAAGCCAGGCTAGTTACCAGGCTTATTTAATAGCTTGTACATAAAATTTAAGTCAAGTTAAAAGTTTACATCCCCTTTCAAAAGAAACAAGAATTATAACCTCTACTAAAGTTAGTAAACTCACCAGCATGAGTTTTGATGACAGATTTGTCTTGCTTCATGCCAGCAAGATCAATCCATTTTCCCATGACATCTCTTTCTACAGCTGCAGAATTTGCCACTTCAGACTGCTCATCTACAACGAAAAAAGGCAGCTTTTTTTTTTACACTGTAAAGAAAGCAGGACTGCAGAAAAAACAAACTGGGAGGCAAATAATTCTCCACTTGAATGTGAGTTTTCCCTGTTGAGGGAAAAGAAACCCCAAGCCATAGGACTACAAAGATGCTATCAGTGATTTCAAAGTGAAATGCTGAGCTTCTGTCCCACAAAGGATCTGGTATTGCTCACTTCTAATCACCCCATTGACTGACAATATAGAATATACTGAGAAAAACAGAGACTACTGCTTAGAGCTCTTGACACATTCAATTTTAGCTGTAATGCTAACTTAACCTCAATCTACTTCCTCCCTCATTCAGCCCCATCACTTATTTTCAGCCCTGAACAGGCTCTTCATTTGTGGCAGCACAAGTACTCTCAGGAGCTCAGGAGAACTGTCTCAAGTATTGATCCAAGTGAAAAGTACCGTGAGGCAGGGGAAATAAAAAAAATCTGCATCAGCTCCCTGTTCTCTAGCTTGTTGCAGCACAACTCCAGTTCTGCAGAAACTGGGAAAACAGCAAAGATGTGAAAGCAAACAGCCAGGAAAAGACAAAAAACTTGAGAGGTCTGCAATGCCACTGCTGCTGACAGCAAGATGCATATGGCACGGTCCCAGTTCAAAATACTGCACACTCAGGAGGCACCCGACTTCTCTACTCTGTTTTCAGGGTACTAATAGCAAATTCAGTGGGCTTATACATGGAATTATGCGTCCCTATGGGACTCCAGCACGACAGGTTTTCTATAGTTTTTGTTATTTATATATACTCTACTCTAAGATACACATCACAGAAAGCAATCAATTTCCCACAATATTTTTCTATTAATTATTCCCTAGTTTTTCATTTAACTGGCAGTACTCAGAAGACTCCATAATTTTAAGAAACGTTAAACTTGTAAAGATAAAAAGTGGTAACACTTATTAAAAACACCTCTGCGCACACAGCAAGGATTCCTCCCAGCATGTACTTACTCCTTGATGCCAGAAATAAGGAGTTCAATGGCTAGACACAAAATAATTTTAAAAAAACCTTGTTATATCTCCAGAAGAAGAAGGTTTATTAAAACCTATCATTTGCAGAAAACAGAACTTTTAAGCAAAACTGTTAAATCTATTAGATACTGTCCAGTTATATCAATGTAGCATGAATCGACACCAAGGCAACGATAATCACTTCATTCAGATTTTTGAAGCACTGATATCTAATGCTATATTCTCAGCTACAATAAACAGGGTTTACATTCACATATATATATATACATCTGACAACAAAGTCTGTCCTGTATTGTTCGGATTTCGTGCCTAAACAGTTTTTTAAAAGGATTCCTAATGATAATGGTGCTCATTATTACTGCAGAGTGGAAAAAAACAAAACAAAAACAACCCCAAAACACCAAACCCACAGTAAATTGATGGATAGATGAAGGACAGGAGAACATCTCCAGTGGAATTGTCTACAGCAGGAAAAGAAACAGCTTGCCAATTTTAAAGAATAGACAAAGTTAATTATATATTGGTATATGCCAGCTGATCAAGTTGAACTGTGTAGAATCAGATTACAAGAGTAACAGCTAATATACAATTAAATTTATAATCTTAAACCTATGCTACTTTAAAAAATAAATATTAAGTGTCATAACTAATCTTTAAAGCTATAATGTTTATATATGCTGACAAGCTCCCAAACTAAAAACATATTTAAAAAAATATTCATCTCCAAGTACTCACAATACTGACTAGATCAAATTTGGAGAACAGAAGAATGTGGAAGAATGACAGACAACCCTCCAGAGACAGAAGAAAACCTAACAAGACATTAAGGCAGTTAGTTTATGTCTTGCTGCCTGCTTCTTTATCACTCATCTATCACAGCTTTAAGGTACTACCTAGCCCTCTGAAGTATTTCAAGCCCTGTAACTTTCCCTGTGCCCTTGGAAAAATTACTTTACGGCCCAGCTACTTTTCTTACATGGTAACTGAGTCAACGTATCTCTCAGAATTTATTTTTTTTTTAACATGCCAACAAAATTTCATCATCACAAGAGTACTAAGGAAGGGTTTCCGTGGCCAAATCACACTCTTCTGCGTGTAGCTGTCAGCAAATCCCCAGAGCACAAAACACAGATCTAGCCAGCATACTGAGGTTCTGTTGTTTTACGTAGCAAGAACACTGCAATGTAACTTTTACGTTTTTATTTTTGCTGATTCAAGTCTCCAATGCACTGATTTAAAGCTGGAAGAAAGACAAGTGTCAAGCATGGTAAGCTCTGCGTACCTGCATGATGTTGGCCTGCCGACCATGACATGCTTTCCAACGTATCTGACACAGCAGACCACTCTAAATCTTCCGCAGAACAAGACGATGCAGATGGTTTGTTCTCTCTGGGTTCTTCCTCCCCGATGAAGGGCTCAAAGGTATCTTCTGAACAGTCCAAACCAGAACTACTGTAACTCTGGCTCAGTTCCATCCACCACTTTTCACAGTTACCAGAGCTATCTGCTGAGGCAGTCACCACATGCAGCACTGCAAATAAAAAGAAAAGCATAAAATAGGTTCAATTATAAAGGAAGAATGACTGAATTACTGATAGCAATAGGGGACATATGGAGGACTATTGCAGCTCAGCTCACACCCAATTCAGCTACAGTAACAGGTGGATGAAATAACTACTTAATTCATGCACTAGATGAAGGCAACACCCTTTAAAATACTACTGCTGATCAAAGCAGTGCATCATTAAGATCCTCTGGGTAAGCACACAAAAACAATTATCACTGAATTAACATTAGCAGTGAATTCTGAACAGCGTTCCTTTCAAATTCACAGTGTCTTACAGTAACACCTGGAAAAGATCATTCATGAAAACAAAAAAATAATTTAAAGAATGGTGTATTTTTGCTTTCAGATTATTAAACCACTCAGAAATCCCAAACTTCTCTGTTCTGCTTAGATTTTGTCTAGAAAACTAGAAAGAAAACATCACAAGCATCAGCTAGCTGATGCTCTCAAATGAGGAGTCACACTCACAATGTGAAAAAGGGAAGTAAAGTTCTCCAGATTTGAGCTCCTGGAACAAAACAGACCTCAGACAGTTACCTATCATGTAAAAGATACATTTTCAAGCTTTGTTCTTATTTATTTTACCCTTTTTTATTAGAATCATGCAATACCCCTTCTTCCCTTGATTTAAGGACCTAAATAACTTTGTCCTGAATAATTTTGGTCCAATTTCTTCCCTACTCTAAGAAGGACAGTAAGGACAGTAAATGTATGGGGAACATCCCCTGGGAAGATGCTTGCAGCCATCACAGTCATGGCTCCTTCATGAGAAAGACAGGAACCCCAAGGTGACAACAGTAGGTAGACACAGGCACTTTCTGTCATGCCTGAAATTCAGATACGCCACTGTACTTGGTGTTTGTTGCTGGGGTTTAGGCAACTGCATTTTAAAGGTGCTGACTTTGAATATGCTACGCTGCTGGTTTTATGTACCACATTACTGCTAAATCTTTCTGTGCACTGTGTAAAGACCCTGTGCCCTCTTTCCCAGTGCCAGACTTCCAAAACTAATCTGCAGGGCCAAGGTTTTCTTTCTGTTTCAACATAGTTCTGAAAATTAAAGAACTGTTCTGATATAAACTTCAAATATTAATAAACACTAAGTAATTATTTTATTCATTACACCACCACTGATTCAGGCTGGTGTTCAATTATTAAGATCATCTACAGGAGAAAAACAATCGGAAATGCAAACAGAGACTCAGTTTGTTCTCCAGCCCATAGCTGACCTAAGAAGTTGCAGCTGCACAAGCAGCATGTGGATGGTTAAGGGGCTTGAAGATTAATTTCAGCAAGTAACATGACTGGCTGAACTAGGAATGCTTCATAATATCAGATATGACCAATACCAGCTACTTTTCACAGTGGAAAGTAGGTATTTGTTACAGTATCAGCAGATAAATAACTTAGAAGCCATAAGTATACTTATAAATAGCAAATAAAACATGCTTACAGACAATTCTAAAGTTGTACTTGCTATCATACAGCTAATAAGGTAATATCTACCTTAACAGATTGGCAGAAAGCAAGCCTAACACTTCAGTAAGGGTTCTGGAAAAGAGAAGCCACAGAATGGTTTTAATTGCTTTTCTAAGAAATCACCTTTTCTTACAGACATGGTGACAAAACCTTCACTCACCACCAAGAGGTTGCTGTGATGTGTGTCACTAAAAAGGGGAAGCAGGTTAGCAGAAAACCTGAAGGAAAGAAGCTCTGTCCTCTCAGGAGGCAAAAATATGATTGCAACACACCACACACATGGAAAACCTCCATTTCCACCAATTAACAACCAATTACAAAACTGTTCTCTGCACACTTTCTAGTTGAAACCCCAAAGCAACAGAGGTGGGGTGTTCTTTTGTTTGTGGTTTGCTGGGTTGGATTTTTTTTACTTTACAATCCTGCATTTCCACGCGGAAAACTTGAAATTTTTCAGAACTATTTAACGTATATTCTAACTGACAAAAGCCCTTTGAGAAAACCCTACCCTGAACCGCAGGCTGGGGCTTCACTCAGGCTGCCCTTCACCGCCCTGCCAGCAGTGCGGCCTCCCTGCACCCCGCACGCTGACCTGCTCGGCTGTGACCCGCAGCCTCGCTCCCCTGGCAAATTCCTTGTCACACCGAAGGGACCCCGACCCCTGCCCAGCCCCTCCTGCTCCCCCCGGGGGTACCCCGCACCCTCCTCCCCTGCAGGCCTCCGTCTCCCCGGGCACACACGCCCTCCT